AGGGATAACTCCTATTTTTAATTTAGCTAAAGCATCTCTTCCTAACAAATTTAGTGGACAAGATGGGTCATAGATGCACTGATTTTTGCAGCCACGGCCACTTTCTCTATGTGACATAAAGAGGGGAACGGTTAGCTGTTGCAATGTCACATGTCCTGAGGCTGATTTCACAATTAAAGTGTCTTTTGAGAAAGTTACATTTGGGACTTCTACTGTTAAGACAGATCTACACGCTCCTGTGTCACAAAGGAATTTTACTGGGACACCATTCACGTGTACTATAACTGTTGGCTTTGCTTCTGATCCTAGCAGTAGTTGTTCAATATTGTAAACTTCCCCTTCACTTGTTTCACTTCCTTCCTCTCGTGCTAGTCATTCATCACGGCGTCTGCGCCTGTCATCATCACTTTCTTGTTCCTGGCTTACACTTCTACAGTCTCGAGCAAAATGCCCGTATTTACCACAGTTATAACATTGTATATCTCTTTTGTCTCTTCTTTGTCCTACTTTCTGCTTTCCCTTACGTGGCTTAAAACCTGCTGTGTGTTTTTGTTGTCCTGAGAAAGCTATAAAGCCTGTCTCTGGGTCAATCATGAAAACTCCTTCTGTTTTTCTTTCTGTTTATACACTTTAACTGCATGCTCAGCATATTGCAGGGCGTCAGGCAGAGTGCCTGTGTTTTGTGTCACCCAGTGTTTGTCTACGTGTGTTTTTATTTTGGGCATTAGGCCACTCAGGAAGGCATTTTTTAATTGTTGTTGAAAAGCAGACTGTGGATTTGGATCGTGATTCAGTCCTGAATTTTGCCCGAAAACAGGACGTAAGCGATCCAGATAGTCTGATGCTGTCTCTCCTTCCTTTTGTTTGCACTCTCCTATTTTTCCATAATCTGGCCTTGGGGCTAAATTGACTTCTATTCTGCCGTACAAGTCATTTATTTGTTGATCTAACAGAGGAGTGTCTGGTCCTAGGACATCGCCGTTTTGGTCGTTTCCTGTGTAGGCTCCTCTGACTCTAGGAAAACGTAAACCTAATAAATCTTGAAGAACCTGTTGCATCTCATGACCATTCAAACCCCAACCACGACGAATTAACTCTACTGCATGTCGCCACTGTTGAAAACCTTCATTAAGGGGTGGGACATCTTTTAGCACATTCTCTCTGTCCTTATGGACCAGGGTCGGAATGCGTATATCAGAGGTTCTCCATCTATTGGTATGATTCCTTGGGCGTCTACGGGCCCACTGGGTTGCCCATACCTAGGATTTGATAAGGCAACCATTGGAAACTGACCTACAGTTCCTTCTTTTTTGTAGTGATTATGTTTAGTCATAAGATTAAGCTGATGTTTTGCCTCAGCATAGGGATCTGGAGCAAAAGGGTTGTGAGGAGAGATTACAGGAAGCGGTGACGCAGGAATTGGTGTAGCTGCTGCTGCTGCTGCTGTCTGTGTGGGCTGAGAGGAAGGTGCATAAGGAGGGGGGTTTTTTTCTCTCCTGCAGCCCTCTGTTTATCTTTATTTTCTTGTTTTTGGGCACGTTTAGCACTGCGTTTATCATTTTCTGCCTCCCATGCTTTGAAAAGTCGCCATTCTGCTACACGTTTTGCTTTTTTCTTTTGACTTTTTTCCTCAAATAGTTCTTTTTGCAAAGCAGCTTTTAAAGCAGTTATTGACTCTTGGTTGCATTTGCCTTGCCAGGCTGGACAATAAATTTTATGTGGATTTCTCCACCTATTTGCACTGACTCTTCCTGCATTTTGACAGTTTTTTTCAAGCTTTTCTTCATCTGCTGTTAATTTTATTTTAGTTTTAGAATTACCCATTTTGAACTAATTACGTCAGAACTGTGACACCTTCTTTGGCATAAAAAAGTGAGAATGGGTTTTCAATAACAGCCTTCTACTCACTCGCTATTCGAGTGAGCGGTTATTGATTTTACGTGATGACGCACAACCCTTTTTCCACTTTAACCAATACGTGAGTGTACACAGGAAAACAGTTTGAGAAGTGGTTCGACCGCTTATTGGGTCGTAAAAACAACTCACTCCTCTATTTCAACACAAACAAAGCGCGTTCTTATAATTTTTATTGAGATTTTCCATAGGCCTATTTCATGTAACCTTCAACCTGTTCCGTTGCAGCCACTCCTAGAGTGACCGGAACTCGTTCCGTTACAGCTGCTACCCAGAGCAACCGGAACTTTTAATAGCGATTTCTAGAATATCGCTCTTGCCTGTTGTCTCCTAAGTCCCTCTCTGGACTGAGATCTGTCGGCGCTCACCAGGCTTACACTATTTTAAAGGAAAATCTCAACATCAACGTATTTTAACGCTTGATGGAATGCAGTGTTTCATATTCACCTTACTGTGGCGCTGCGTTTTTTGATCCGGTGCTCATCGGGTCCTGCAGCCGTGAAGGCCTGTGTAAGACGCCGACCGGAGATCGAATTCACGTTCCCGGTTTTTCTTTTGCTGTGCACAGACTCTTTTCCAGCGCAGGCGTCACGACGTCAGGATCCGATGAAGACCGTCTGTTGGAAAACTAGACGTTAAAAATAACAGTCAGTTCTCCGGCTACGAAGGACCAATTAAATGTCAGGGGTAGACATTTGTTCAAAACACAAGTAAGAGAAATGAGACAACTGCAGACCGACTCAGAGTGTAATTAGAAAACGTGCGCACGGGTGAATGTCTCTCTGAGAAGACACACACACCGAGCACAGGCTCACTTGCTTTATTTATAAGGCAAAAATGGGTTACATAGTACTTCCTCTTTTAACAGATGTTGACGAGAGGTTAAACATTAAATCAACTTATCTGATCTTTCACACACTGGGATAAAAATACAGAAGTATATCATGCTTTATCTGACATCACAGACATTATAGGAAAGAATGCATCATTATATCATGCTGTCAAAACATCTCAAACACTTAGGTAAGGAATGCATCAGTTTTCCTTTTACAATAAACTTGGTTAGGTAATTCTTCAACAATAGGCTTGGTTATGTGAAAATATATGAACACACAAAATATAAGGCATACTTGGTTAGAATATAAAGCCTACTTGATTATATTGTATTATAGAGATTTGGTTATAATGTATAATGTAGAAAATCTTCTAACACGTACTGTATACAGTAGGCTCTATTCACACAGCTGTGTGCTGTGTGGCCCTGTGAGCTCTCAAATGCACAACAATTAAGTCTTCTGCCTTCCAGGACTGATGATGACATGTCTCAGCAGGGGGAGCCTCAGTCAACCTCAGCTTCAAAGAGCTCTTCCAGTGTTGTTAATTAAACTTCCTAATTGAAACCTTAAAGCGCGGTTCTGTTCCTCTCTCACAGCTTGCATTCTCACGCTGTTGCACTCCAGCCGAAAATGTCAAGTTGCAAATGAGCTGGGAGAAAACATGAGACCTTTGATTGTTTTGGTCAGCTACTCCGGCTTTGGATCTATTGCTGTGCCACCCTGCCTACTCCCGCTATCTTTTTTTTCTGCTTTTTTCTTTTGTTTTGAATACTTTGTTCTTGTGTCTGTCTACTTGATCACAGGGTTGAGAATTACTGCTCTGTGTATTTTTTATGCAGTAAGCCTGTGAGTAGGTTTTGTCTAGAGCACAAATACTGCTGACTAAAATGTTTTACACAGAAAGATCATACTGTTAAATTTGTAAAGGTACTCTCACGTTGCACTCATAGATATATTGATTAGCGTGGAATTAAATAAGTTAACAAGTTCTTTTAAACTAAGAATGAATCCATAAAGGTTCAAATAGAAGCTGCAGTTCCTGTCTACCTGATACAAACACATATACATGTCCAAAAGGTCAGTAAAAGTTCTAGATGTCAGGTTTTCACTTTTCTTCTATGCCTGCTGAGCACAGCACAGACAGAAGTGTGGAAAAAGAGATGAGGCTTATCCACAGTTAATATTTATTTAATCATTTATTTTTTTTTTTTCGGGTGGTGGCACAGTACTTTTTGGATTCCCCAAGCCTGTTAACCACAGATGAAAGTTTTTTGTTGTCAGAAGAGGCAGTTTTGGCTCCCCACAGGCAGATATTTAAGCTAAAAGGCTAGAAAATAAGGGATTTTGCTGAAGGTGGCCACATAAGCCTGTAGGTTGCAGCACCGGGACTTTTCTCTCAGATGTGTCTGAACCCGCTAGCTGAGAAGAGCTTGGCACGTTTCTCAAGCAGCAGCAATCCTTGCTGCAGGCAGCTCTGGTTTATACTGTAGTTCTTCACCGAGTGCCGCTATTACACAACCGTAATCTTTATTCTTCAGGCAAATGATGCATTTTGGACAGTTTTATCGTCTTGCTTCCTCAAAAGCCTGCACTGTTAAATGTTTTATGGGAAAATAGAACATCGTATATATCGTATATTGTGTTTTTAGTATAATATCTAATAATATGCACTAAAGCCGTCAAGACATCCTTTTCTTGTTGTTTAAATATTGTCCGTGCATCATAAATGATTTGTTAACAGACAGAAATGCTGCTTTTCATCTCAGCTGGTTATAGGGAATGGATGTGTTTGATTGACAGCAGCCTGCAGACTTTCCGAGTGTCTTTGCTCCACCGTAGGACACAAAATACTCACATCTAGTGAATTTTGCAAGTTTGTTTACTTCTCAAGTTCCACCAACTGACCAGCTAATTGGCAATACATCCTACAAACTGACTTTAATGGAGCACCTTTTGCCATAAGATGTTTGTTTCAGTTTATATCCTTAAAGAAGCCACACGTGTGTTCTTGTTTAATAGTTAGATAAGAAAAAGACTTGAGCAGAAAAGCTAACATTAGTTATTCAAGGTGTTTAGTCCTTGTGTTGTGCAGCAGGTTGCTGTCTAGCTCAGTGTGACTGATTTGCATACGAAGGCAAAACCGCGGTGTGAGCAATTGTGAAAACAAAAGATATGACATACACATTTATTTTATTTCCAAATGTTTTTGTTCTCCTAAAGGAAACGGAGAAAAAAGTGACTGACCGGGCACGTATGTATACCGGAGTAGACAGTTGGACTTTAAAAGATAATAACACAGTGTTGTCTTGGCCTTCATCATCTGTGAGTTTTATCCAAGTAGCATTTGCTTACATTTGACTTCATAAACACAAATGGATGGCCTATACATCATCCAGACACCATCACTCACTCGTAAACTGGCACAGGGATGTGATATCCACTCAAAAAAAGAAGAGTCACTTCCTCCCTCTTGTCTCATTGCAACAAATTGCTGGTGCCCATGCTGCCCTTCCCATCTGCCGCTCTGTGTGTGCTTATTTTTTTTCCTCCTCTGGAATTGTTTACAACGTGTGTTAATGAGTCATTAGATGTAGCCAAACCTATTCATCCCAATCCCATTGTTCAAACCTCGTCATCCAAAGATAGAGCGCCAGAGCTGCCAGGAACTGTGAAACACCTGCTCGGCCGCACTCCATGCAAAGGTTTAATTGGAGGGAGAGCCTGAAAGAGAGAGAGACAAGGGGACAGATTTAGCTGGAGACGGAAGAGAAAGGGGAGAATAAAGACGAGCTAAATGATGGTTGTTATATTTCTATGAATCAGAAGCTCCACTCTCACCTGTCCCCTACGCAGCTATAATCCAGCCGCAGTGTTCATCAGAACGGGGGAATGAAAAGAAGAATAGATAAACTCCATTGTTTCTGCAGCACGCTGCAAGAGAGTGACAGCCTGTCAGATAAGGAGGACAAGAGGAGGTGGGCAAAGGATGGGAAAACGAGAAGAAGAGTGAAACATAAGCGCTAATGGAGATAAGGAAAGTGGAAGGCCCCGGGTTGATGTGGACGTGGGAGAAAACAGACAAAGGGACAAGGAGGAAAAGCAGACATAAGATGCAGATGAGATCAATAAACTTAATGCAATGAGAGGAGGTTGCCACGTCACCCTGGACTTCTGCAAAGTGCCTCTTCTGTCTTAAAGCGGACGACTCACTCCTCTCACCCTAAAACATCCCCCCGTCAGCGTGAGTCTGCCTATCACCTTCTGTGAGAGAAGGCACCCTGCATCTCTCAGGAGGTTATCAGCTCAGGTACACGCAGTTAATTACCGAGCTGTCATTGATCTTTCCACATGTGTACACACAAAAGGATTTAACTGACAAGTGTGCGGGGAAGCTGGTGCTGAGGATTTTCTTTGTATTTGCAAAGTTTTATGAAGTCTGAGTTCAGTTTTGGGGCTTGATGTTGAGCTCAGAGTTAACTCCCCAGCTCTTCTAATCCTTGGAGTCCTAAAAACTCATGTTAATTTCCCTACAGAGGACGAATAGAAGAGAAAAAAAAAAAAAGGGGGGGGGGGGGGGGGGCGGCTATCAAAAGCAAGGAAATCAGGCAGAGGGAATCGGAAGAAGAGACGGCCATGTAGAGGATATCTCTATTTCTTATTCACAGAGGTGACATTGGACTGCTGAGCGCACAAAGCTCAGCACTTCATTTGTTTCAGTCCTCCCTAACACTGAGCGCTGTTGCGTGATTGTCTGACGATGTGCCCCAGAGTCATGATGTAACTCCAAGAAACCGATTTTCCAAATAGAGGGTCATCTATTTTATATTATGCACTAAAATAAGGCTGGAGCATGTCGGTGCTTCCGCGACATGTCAGAAGATCAGATATTGGCTTAAAAAGGGTGATGTAAGGTTTGGAAACTGAGGTGAGTCTTCTTGTGATGTGGTTAAAGTAGCAACAAAGGCACTGTAATCAGGCCTTGTTTAAAACCGTGCAGGGACCCAGAATATTCTTGGATGATGCAATGTAATGTGCGGTAAAACTTGGGTGGGCTTGCTGATCAAGGGTTTGAATGCTTTTTGAGGCTGTGATATGCAGCGACTAAACATGGAAAAATATCTTGCTGCTCTTTTTAGCCGGCCCTAAAGGGAATCAGGAGTGCTGATGTGGAGATTTTAGAGTACACACCTCCTGGAGTACATTTAAAGTGTACAAGTACCTCCTCTTTTCTTTTCTGTTGTTAATTTCTTAGAAGGTAGAGATGGTGAGGTGTGCTTTGAATTTTTTTGTTTATTCTATTAGCTTATGGCTATAAATTTAGTTGTAAGATGCCAAAATCATCACTGGTCATAAAGCATTAAGGTGGACACACTGGACTCACTTGGACATGTCGATGCTACAGTATTGTTTAGTCTGTGGTTTTAGTCCATTGTTAGGTGCTTTCGGAAATATACAACGTATAATTCAGGTTTTGTGGCCATAAATGAGACCTTATAAGGATGTTTATATGATGCTGTAGGTGCATAAGCCATAAAAAATGGCTCATTTTAGCCCATTGGCAGGTGATCAGTTTAGAAATTACATCAAACACTATGTTGCAGTATTTTTTAGATCTTTGCAACATTTACATAAAACAAATGAATAACACACACGTTGGTCGTCGTACCAAGGGTTCAATATCACAGATGCTATGAAAGGTAAAAAGGAAATTAGAGTTCTGCTATTGTTTGCAGTCTGTAGGCAGCTCAGGACTGTGTCATTCTGTGATTCACATCGATTCTCCGTAGGCAGATATAAAACATACAACAGAATTTAACAACCACTAAAGAAAGAGCACACCTAGAACATTTTGCCATCAAGTTGTGCATTTATCAGACTCACTGCTTCCATCTGTAAAAGTTGCTTTGAAGCAAGCTAATGGTCATTTACAATGATAATATGTGATGTGGAAAAGGTGTAGCTGTGGCTCAAGTTTGCCTGCTCGTCTCCTGACTGTGTCAGAGTTCACAGATGGACAGACAGAGAGATTTTGTGTGTTATATGTAATGAATGTGAAAAGAACATTTGAAAAGCTGGATGTCGGGGATGGTGTGTTCACTATGAGCCTTTTTGTCCAAGATAAATAAATCAATGATGTCATCTCGCACCATAGATATACAAATTCACAATTACAAAAGCAACAGAATCTGACTGAAGAGCACAATAGGGGCCTTTATAATAAAACTGGCATCTTTTAAATGCTTAGAGTATATATACAGAAAACTTTTATGGTCTCGTAGTGTAAGTACTAAAAAGCTGTATCATAGACTTTCATTCTTTTGAAAAAAAAAAAAAGACTAAATGAGTCACACAAATTAAGCGGATGACACATCCCTTCATACATCAGTGCAGCACAGTAAATATTTGGCATATTACTCTGCAGCTCAAAATGAGCCGTTGACTCCTGTCTGAGTAACATTTTTTTTTTTCGAAATAACATATGAAATACTGACGTATGGACTAAAACAAATTACTGTGCATGATCTCTTCATTTTGTTAACACTAAGAGATATGTGGTAATGGCAGCCTCATCCTTCTTCATGGAGATCAGCAGCGCTGCACTTGTGGTTAAGTGGCAGAAAAATCTAAATAATTAAACCCTTTCAAGATGGCCTTCAGCAGTACTGGCATGAATGCAATTTATATCTTAACACTCGAGACTCTTTCATCTGAGCTTCTGAGGTTTTATTAGAAGGCTGGATCACTGCCACTTTTCTTCGTCTACTGCTTGTTCTGTCCATAAAGAGAAAACCTGAGCAGGCAGCGGAGGCTGTAGTTTTATCCAAACAAAGAGATGAGCTTCAGAGATGTCATTTTTTGTACCCATCTGCATCTCCTAGCTTTGCTCAAGCTCCTCAAACTGCAGGGGTGGTACTTGGACAATGCACTCGACACCAGTGTACCATATCACTACTGGACCAATAAAATATAAAGGTAGTGAACATTTTAATAACAGTCTTGAGTAATAAATCATGATCTCAGTGGGTATTTACTCTGTAAGACTCAACCCGTCAAAAAATAGCCAGAAAATTATGATTTTTTTGGAACTGAGATGTTTATTAACCCTTATAACAAAATCCACATTTTTTCTGCTATATCATGTTGTGTATAATATATTTGTATTATGTATTTATTATATATTTTTTGTATCGCATTTAATACATTGGGCGTTTTTGGCAACTTTTTGTTAACAACAATGTTAATTTTATATTTAAAAAAAAAAAGAGTTTTGTCCGTAACATTTTGAAATTATGGCAAGTATTGATCATGTTGCTGAGATAGAGGTCTCGGAAACAGCAAAAATATGATACAAAGGGCATTATAGGGTTAAGAACAGCATTATTATGTGCAGTATCAGCACCAGTAGAAGTCTTTTCACCGTTGCCTAAATGTCTTGCAAGCCTTCTTCACGAGTGTCAAAGTAATGTGTTTTCTCTGTTTCTGATAGCCATGGATGCACCCGTGAACCTGACAGCCAGTGAAGTGAATCACCGCAGTGCTCTCATTTCATGGCAGCCGCCCATTGCAGAAATAGACAACTACATGCTCACCTACAAGACACCCGACGGCAGCCGTAAAGTAAGTGGCATAACCCGCTCGCCTCAACTCGACCCCCTAAACCTGAGCTCCACTGGTAGTGCTGGTTCCTATTTTTTGTATAGCATAATTAACCTGTATTCTGATATTTGCAACCTATTTAAATGAAACGACGAGCAGTGTCTAAAAGGCGAGTCTATCCGATCTTGTCACAGTCTCGGTTCCATCAGATATCGGATGGAAAGGGCTGGTCCACTTACTGATCCAAAGTAAACCCCACGTCGAACCATGAACCTGCTGCAGCTTCAGTTGGTAACTGAACGTGAAAAAAGTTGTTGATTTGACTAAAATGTTGTTTGTTTGGAGAGGTTTTAGTCTGGAAACAAAACAAGAGAACTACTTGTAACAGTAAAGCCAGAGGCTTCATGTGAAGGAGTATTTTTCCCAGTATCCACAGAATCCACACACAGGACAAAGATCTTCCTGTATGTATTTATCTTATTTTCTTTTTTCATTTTCCTATTTTCCTTATTTTTTTCTCTCCCCTCATTAAATAATATCATCTTTTAAACCATATAAAGCTGAAGACATCCACCCAGCACTCCCACTCTCACGCACTTTCTATTTTAGTGTTTATACTAATGTGGTATATTTTGACCTTTTTTTCCTGTGGTTCCTCCTTTTTGTTTCGAAATGAAATGAAATATTACAATAAAATGTTTATGTAACTTGTATAACAGAGATTTTTGAACACTGGCTTAACAGCAAAGAGCTATTTGAAATTTAAAGAATTAGTGGAGTAAATAGTGGCATCGCTTGGATTCAATCAAATCTGAGATCTCATCCAACCACGGAATACACAGCCGCAGTTTTCCAAGACATAGGTGTGAGTCTGGTGTTCATTTCATGTAGGTGTGCATGCGTTGCAAGCTACACCTCATTAATTGGAACATACACTTTAACTTGGTGTACACTTAAAATCATATGCACGCATACACATACATTTTGATAGATGTCCTCTGTAGCCTGCAGCTACACGCCCACAGTGAAACAGATAGCACACAGACAGAGAAGAGCAGCCAGCAGAGACTCTCATCAAACAGATCACAGCACAGCCATCGGACCCCCTCCCCGTAGGGGTCAAGCATCCAGCCTGGTAATATCTCCCTCTCGTTGTATTCGTCAGCGGGCAGTTCTTGCAGACACAGTCTCGTATCGTGTCCTCGATAATGACAAATGCACGAGCATCGCTGTCATCGATTGTAAACTGTCAACAACAAATTCTGACAATATTTACTGATGTCATAGACGAAGATGTGACTATATTCACTGCTCCTATTGAAATATCAGCCAGT